CATCTGTGTCTTCAACTTCCAACTGTGTCCCCTTGTTACTGTGTCCAATCTCTGGAACATCCTGTCTTTGTCCACCTTGTCAATTCCTCTCAGTATTTTGTATGTCGTTATCATGTCCCCCCTATCTCTCCTGTCCTCCCGTGTCGTCAGGTTGATTTCCTTAACCTCTCCTCGTAGGACATACCTCTTAGCTCTGGGACTAGTCTTGTTGCAAACCTTTGCACTTTCTTTAGTTTCTTTACGTGCTTGGCTAGGTGTGGGTTCCAAACTGGTGCCGCATACTCCAATATGGGCCTAACGTACACAGTGTACAGGGTCCTGAATGATTCCTTATTAAGATGTCGGAATGTTGTTCTGAGGTTTGCTAGGCGCCCATATGCTGCAGCCGTTATTTGGTTGATGTGCACTTCAGGAGATGTGCCTGGTGTTATACTCACCCCAAGATCTTTTTCCTTGAGTGAGGTTTGTAGTCTCTGGCCCCCTAGACTGTACTCCATCTGCGGTCTTCTTTGCCCTTCCCCAATCTTCATGACTTTGAACTTGGTGGGATTGAACTCCAGGAGCCAATTGCTGGACCAGGTCTGCAGCCTGTCCAGATCCCTTTGTAGTTCTGCCTGGTCTTCGATCGAGTGAATTCTTCTCATCAACTTCACGTCATCTGCAAACAGGGACACCTCAGAGTCCATTCTTTCCGTCATGTCGTTCACAAATACCAGAAACAGCACTGGTCCTAGGACTGACCCCTGTGGGACCCCGCTGGTCACAGGTGCCCACTCTGACACCTCGCCACGTACCATGACTCGCTGCTGTCTTCCTGACAAGTATTCCCTGATCCATTGTAGTGCCTTCCCTGTTATCCCTGCTTGGTCCTCCAGTTTTTGCACCAATCTCTTGTGTGGAACTGTGTCAAATGCCTTCTTGCAGTCCAAGAATATGGAATCCACCCACCCCTCTCTGTCTTGTCTTACTGCTGTCACCATGTCATAGAACTCCAGTAGGTTTGTGACACAGGATTTCCCGTCCCTGAAACCATGTTGGGTGCTGTTGATGAGATCATTCCTTTCTAGGTGTTCCACCACTCTTCTCCTGATAATCTTCTCCATGATTTTGCATACTATACATGTCAGTGACACTGGTCTGTAGTTTAGTGCTTCATGTCTGTCTCCTTTTTTAAAGATTGGGACTACATTTGCTGTCTTCCATGCCTCAGGCAATCTCCCTGTTTCGATAGATGTATTGAATATTGTTGTTAGGGGTACACATAGTGCCTCTGCTCCCTCTCTCAGGACCCATGGGGAGATGTTATCTGGCCCCATTGCCTTTGAGGTATCTAGCTCACTCAGAAGCCTCTTCACCTCTCCCTCGGTTGTGTGCACTGTGTCCAGCACTTGGTGGTATGCCCCACCTCTCCGTCTTTCTGGAGCCCCTTCTGTCTCCTCTGTGAACACTTCTTTGAATCTCTTGTTGAGTTCCTCACATACTTCACGGTCATTTCTTGTTGTCTCTCCTCCTTCCTTCCTTAGCCTGATTACCTGGTCCTTGACTGTTGTTTTCCTCCTGATGTGGCTGTATAACAGTTTTGGGTCAGATTTGGCTTTCGCTGCTATGTCGTTTTCATATTGTCTTTGGGCCTCCCTTCTTATCTGTGCATATTCGTTTCTGGCTCTATGACTGCTCTCCTTATTCTCCTGGGTCCTTTGCCTTCTATATTTCTTCCATTCCCTAGCACACTTGGTTTTTGCCTCCCTGCACCTTTGGGTGAACCATGGGCTCATCCTTGTTTTTTTATTATTCCTGTTACCCTTGGGTACAAACCTCTCCTCAGCCTCCTTGCATATTGTTGCTACATATTCCATCATCTCATTAACTGGCTTCCCTGCCAGTTCTCTGTCCCACTGAACCCCGTTCAGGAAGTTCCTCATTCCCGTGTAGTCTCCTTTCTTGTAGTTTGGCTTCATTCGTCCTGGCCTTCCTGCTTCTCCCTCCACTTGTAGCTCTACTGTGTATTCGAAGCTTAAAACCACATGATCACTGGCCCCAAGGGGTCTTTCGTATGTGATGTCCTCGATATCTGCACTACTCAAGGTGAATACTAAGTCCAGTCTTGCTGGTTCATCCTCTCCTCTCTCTCTTGTAGTGTCCCTTACGTGTTGGTACATGAAGTTTTCCAGTACCACCTCCATCATCTTAGCCCTCCATGTATCTTGGCCCCCACGTGGCTCCAAGTTCTCCCAATCGATCTCCTTGTGGTTAAAGTCACCCATGTGTGTATGTATGTGTTTCTGAGCATGCACATTCATGTGTGTGTGTGTGACCCAATTACTTTGTAATTTGTTCATGATTGTAACCATGTATAGAAGTGTATATAATTCATTACCTTTGTAACTTGTCATGATTGTGACCAGATCTACCTGGAGTTCATTACCTTCATAACTTGTTCATCTATCATAACTTTGGGGTCCAGTCCCTGGACCCATTATGCACCTCTGTAATCTTTTGACTACCACCCACAGGATGGGTATGGGATGTATAATAAAGATATTAAACTAAGATACCTGGCTTTTGAAAAGGCAATACTATTGCAATTTTCCATTGGAGGGGTAGAACTCCCTTCAGACCAATTACAATATTAAAGGTGAAAGAGGAAGACTAGTAGTGTAGGGTGTTAAGTACTGAAGCATATAGCAGTCATCAGGCCTCGCTGCTGCTAGGTGGAGTGTGGATAGTGTTGATGCGAGTTTGTGGAGTGCTAGAAATGTGAAGGTCCTTCCTTGGGGAAACTTTAAACATAATTGGGCAAACTCCTACTTGGACTTGGACTGAAGGAGGGGATAAACATTGCTCTTGAGAAACTTAAATGAAGTGATGTCCAATTGATGTGGCAAATTTGACAGTCAACAACAATTTTAACAACTATTAAGGACAAGGGCAAGGTTTGGAGAGCTCTTGTCTGAAACTGTCAAACTTTTTTCCAGGCTGTGCATATCGAAGTATAATGTTTACCAGAGGTCTGGGGGATTGCAGTGTGGCTACAGAGAACAAAAGTGGTAAAGATTTATAACAACTCTTCTGCAGAGGATGAATCAGGAGGAACACCAGTAAGAGGTATGGTGTGTAAAAGTGCCCAATCCGCATGCTCAAATTGCCATTAGGACCAACAAGGTCGGGTGTAAAAATGAGAAATAGTGAGAATAGTTCAGTGGTCACTATCATGGAGCTCATTTATTACAGTCCAGTCAATTTTGAGCACTATGGAAGAGAAGCAAATAGAGAGCCATACAAGAGAGTGTATGGGTGTGGATATCTAGGTATATAGGGATACCGATGTTCAAGACGTGGAGAGGTGGAGGAGTGAGTAGAGCCTCTGGTCCTCACAAGGGTTGTAGCAAGACCATCCCCAGAGCAAATTATAAGTGTTAAAATTACCTAATACAAGAATGGTGTAGATGAGGATGAAATCAGAAATTATATGTTATACACATATAAGGTGTGTGGAGATAGGAGCAGACCATGCACCCTTTATCTTAATAGACAAGGGCTACTGTAATGAACAGTAGTTTGAAATGAAAGTTAAGAATAAGGAATATTGTACACATGAAGTGCACTTTCATTGTATGTCTCACTGAGAAAGGGATCAAGTGACTGAAAGTAAAGAGCTAGGGATAAGGATTCTGACTCTGGTAGAGAGTCTGGGTTCTTGTAAACAAATACATAAAGGGTAAAACTGGGAAATCAACATTTGGAGCACTTACTTGATTCCCCCTTTATCCTGATATTCCACTGCAACACTAACATTATTAGTGTGAGCAGGGTAATATTTAGTGAAGGGATTCAGGGAAACCAGTTATTTTTATATAACTGGACTTGAGTTCTGGAAATGGGAAGGGGGTTTGGGATATTGGCAGTTTGGTGGGATGTGTAATAGGATATATAATTGGGGCCCTGATATTGTTAATAGTATATATTTATTTCAGGTCACTTTTTATATTGTATCTTTATACATGCTTCTAAACTGTTGTATCTGTGTGCCTCTGCAAAAACAGTGATTGTGTATGAGTGAGGTGAAAGTGTTGAATGATGAAATTATTTTTGTTTTGGGGATTTTCTTTCTTTTTGGGTCACCCTGCCTAGGTGGGAGATGGCCGACTTGTTGAAAAAAAAAATATAGGAGAGAGAGCAGGTGGTGGCTATGGGTTAGGGTGGCTTGTAAAGTCCATATAGTCGCAGAGGTAAATTATAAATAAGGCATTTATGTGTAACTGTAGAAGCAGCAAGATGCAGGGCAGATGAATGTGAAGGGTGAAAATAAAATAATATATCATTAGGACTAGCATCAGGTGGTGTGTGTTTAGGATTGGATGTCAGTCTTTTTGGTGTTCCTTGCTGAAGTTGGGGTTTGTCAAGGTTCATTACAGATGAAGAATTAAGATACATGTGCAACACTTGAGTATCTTTATGTAAAAGGTTTTGCCAATCAGTAACTTTATCAATTCAGTACAGAGGTAGTGAAACTGGACAGTAGAAGATGAGGTAATGTCTCTCCCCAGCTTTATAGAACTATACGCAGAAGGCAGTAGAAGACAAGGTAATCAGTCCCTTAACTTGGAAGCCAGTGTTCTGCACCAGCTTCCAATTTGAGACTGATTACCTCATCTTCTACTGTCTCCAGTTTCAATCTCTCCAAAAATTCTATGTATTGAATTGATAAAGCCATTGGTTGGCAAAAATCTTCAAATAAACATACTCGGGTGTTTCACGTGTCTAATTCTTCACCTTATCCATATTATACGCCATTACTGAAAAGTTCATTATGCGCCTTGTTACTTCAACAAAAGTTGATCTGGTCTCGATCATCTCCATAGTCAAAGTAGTGTGATACAAAAGGTGATAGAGGAAGACAGAACAGAGAAAGGAGAAACATTGATAGATTGTTGTGAAGTTTGTTGACAGCTATTTAAAAACAGACATCAAAGATAATAATAACTAATTTCATTATTTTATTGCTTTAATAATTATAATATATTTATACAATTTACTCTGGTTTCAAACATATAAAAGGAGAACCCTTTTTAAGGGCTATTATTTTAAGTAACAATTGGAAGCCAAGAATACAAGGTATACATTTATTGACATGGTTTGGCAACATTCATGCTGTAAGTATCAGGATACGGAGTATAATTTCCTGACACAAGCAGTCAAAACAAAACCCTAATGGCACATGGAATATATTGCATACTTAAAACAGTCTGATCATTTACATAACTTTCTTAAAACAGTTTGCTTCTGGAATGTACATTGAGATCATTTACATAATTTTCACTCAGTAATTTTCTTCTGGAATGAACAAAATAACATTTTGCAATTAGCTACAATAATTGCAGGAAAGCTGCTGTAGTAATTCACAAACCAGCTTAGCTAAGATATTTAGACATAAACATCAGTTCAAATCTCAAGCACAGAATACATCAAGACATTTTACCACAGTAGGGGTAAAAGATTGCTAGCAGTTAGAAAGGATAAGCTCAGCTGAGATTTATGGCGAATATGATCACTATTAAGGTAAGCATGTGGTAATACTCTATTTACTCCATGCAATAATCTTTCAAAAAGACTGTTTTTAATGATGATTACCTTGGATCTTATTACTTCCATCTTATTACCATAATTGAAAAAAAAAATATATATTTGGTTTAAAACCCTCTAAGATTATCACAGTAAAATATTATTACCTTAATATAAGATGATTCACTTGGAGACTTCACATAATATGAAATTATCAAAAGTTATAAATAACAATAGAAAACTTGTCTGTATCTAAGTACTGTATTCTTATCACAAAAAGGAAGCCAGGTAAACTAGTGAATAATCTTCAACATACAGGCACATATGGTAAATACAATTACCTATGACAATAAAATTTAAAGCAGACTCCATACCCTTTAATATTGTTCCAGGCTTATTACTAAAATTTTATTTTTTAGCATTATTCATCTAGCCTAACAGCCATAAATGCAGAAAGCGCTTCACGTTCTCCAATAAATATCGTACAAAGTTACTACTTGTGAAATATACTTCAAAATTCATACAAAAGCAGCAGTAATGTCTATATTCAAAAACTTACAAATCACAATATGTGAGAAATAAAATATAAATACAAATTAAAAAATACAAGAGTATTACCAAAAACTTTGTTTCCATGACTACAAAAAAGCTTGAGAGTTCTTATTAAGCTCATTATCAGATCATTGTTTAAATAAAGTGGAGATAATGTACCAAATGTATTGAGCTGTATAAGAAATATCCCAAATATGTAAAGCTATATACTGTATTTAAAAAACAACTAAGATGAAAGTTTTGCTACAGTGAACTGTGGAGGTTGAATAGCAGTAATAGGTTCAGAGGATATTTTAAGTACAGTATACTGTGGAGGATGAACACTGACGCTGATTTTACTACTGAACTAGTAGAAATACTCAGAACACTTTTCAAACCTCTACACATTATGAAAGGAGAGCTTTTAAAACTCTGAAAATGTTACAAAATTAAATGAGAGGTTTCTATTATAAAATTAACCCTCTGACAAATTTTCTGACACCAGAGGAACAAACCAAATAAAATTAACTACTGTTATGCAAGCAAATATATACCTACAGGTAGGATTCAAATGGTGTACTGCCAACAATAGTGAAGAAAAGACTTTGTAGACTAAACTTTATTGAGACTGTTTTGTGCTGTGTAATGCTTTATCCAGTCACAGGAGCTGTGACTCAACCCCTGCAACCACATATTGATGAGAACACAGAGTAAGACATTTTCCCATTAAATGCCTATTCTGCAACATGTCTTTCCTTCACACTTACAGTTAGTTATAATATAGAATGATATGGTGTTACAGAGTTCATAGCTTAATGCAGTACCTCTTATCAAGGGAGACACTGCATATGAAATTACCCCTCCAATTAATGACCAAGCAACAAACTTCCTTCACTGTCACGTGAAACTTCAGATACAGAAATATACATTTTCAACCCACATTGAATACTTGTGGTAAGAATGCAAAGAATCACAAAATAATTAACATTCTTTAAGTTCACAATTTCAGTTTTTGACTTAAAACTATTATTATACTTCAAGTAAGTTTTAACATCTCATTATAACAAACAATAATTTGCTAAGAGGTAGCCTGAACTTAATTTGGTATACTTTCTCCTATTTTAAATCAGATCTATTATATAATGCTAAAAGCACATACACATATTCACACATCCACTCTTATACATAAACATATATGCACACACATTCATATATACATGAATACAGATGAAAGCATATATAAACATCTGAAGATATGCATATACTCAAATGTGCATACATAAACATATTGACATGTATACACACACACAAAGCAAACATAAAAAAGTGTACATATACCCTCTAACTCAAAACATTTTTCTGATACTCTTTCATACATACATACAGTATACACAATATGCAAATATTTCTTCAAGCTAACTAGGCTTGAACCCTGTACTGTACCTCAATAGCAAGGTGGGTACCACATAGTCTCAAAACCAGCATACTGGAGAGCAAACTGAGCTGACTAAAACATCTCACCTAGTCCTGTAAAACAGGACTAAACACAACCCCTTCCTACTAGACTAAAACACTTCTTATTAATATTAAACATATTTCTTAGAATGTTATCAAAAACCAAAGCAGGCTTTAGCTTCAGGACCAGACTGTGACTAGCTATATTAATACTGTATAGAAATAAAGTATTAAAAGTGTGAATGATAAAAGTGATTAAAATATTAAGATAATTGTACTTACAAAAACCAGTCAACAAAATTTTACAACTCCCCAATTACAAAATAAAAAATAAGTAGCAATGAGATTCTAAAATCAAGTTCCAGCAATCAGAGCTTCCATATAAAGATAACTAATTATTCTTTTAGTTTATCTTGAAAATGAAAGACTAGCATCAAGAATAAAAAAAAATTCTTGTTGCTTTCTCCTATAATATCAACACCTTTGAGGATTAAGCTTAGAGTGAAGGTACTGTAATGAACTTGGGGATCTTGGTTTTTACAAGCGATGATTCCCATACCAGGAGAATACCACTTTCTGTGATACCACAGAGATGGTAGTTGTCATGAGTGAAGTGCAGTCTGAAAGATCAAATATTCACAAATGTATTAGTAACATGCATATGCATGGAAAAAGTCAAGGGAAAAAATACTGTGAATCAAATATCTAGAGGGAAACTGTTAATCTAACACTTCAGTTTGACATAAGAAAAAATAAGAAGAAAACTATAAAAAAACTATGATGAATTTTAAAAGTTGGGCTGTTTGAATGTATGTGGGTGCAGCAGATAAAAAAATTATTCTTAACACATGGCCATCTCCTACTGAGGCAGGGTGACCCAAAAAAGAAGTGCTTTCACCATCACTCACATTAATCACTGTCTTGCCAGAGGTGCACCAATACTATAGCTCAGATGCTCCTCCAAACTGCAAATATCCCTCGTACTAAGCATTAAGATGTCCAAGCATTAAGCAAAACAAAGTAAAAATATAAAAGAAGTGGGATAATTTCAAATGGGAGTAAACAGGGTTAACTGAATCCATCTGATCAATCTAAATCAGTAGCACCAGATTAGAGTAAAAGTAGGATGGGAGAACTGGATTAGTCTTTTTACTCTGTGGGTAAGAGACGTGTGAAGAAGTCAAATTTAGGGTGTTAAAGTGAATGTTAAGGAAGTTTAGAAGCAAGAGAATAATTATTGTGGATGACCTAAATACTATATTAAGACTGCTGTACAGGGCAAAGTAGAGAAGTTTTGAGTGCTGGAGTAAATGATAATAGGGCCCTTTAATTGAATTATATATAGAAAGAGGCTTGTTAAAACATATTTTAATAACAGGAGGATTAAAAGTTTATAAGCTATGATGTGGCAAGTAATGACAGCAGACTGAATTGATGAATAAAAGAATGAAGGGTAGATATCTGGATGTATTTTTAGGGGACCAACTAATATATCACTATTTAGTGGTAGCTACAGTAAGAAAATGCAGTGGGTGCAAGACGTGAAAGTGGGGGATGGGAGATAATCAGATTTAATCTATGGGGAGGGTAGCTCCCAATTCTTTGGATGAAGAGCCCTTCACTAGCATTAAGACACCCCTTCTTGAAGATTGCTTTATAGGTAGCAGTTTAAATTTTAAAAGTCACTTACGAAGTTACTGGATGTCTTGCTCGGTCAGTTCTCAGTTCTCGTATGGGTCTCAGATCCCAGACACTCCATAATCTGTTAGATAATATACACAAATTTTTCCTTAATATTTTTTTAAAAATGTATTCAAAATATACTATACAATAGGGTCCCACTTATACGACAGGTTAGGTTCCAGGCTACTGCCGGAAAACGGACATCGCCGGAAAGCATAACGCCATTTTTTCCACTTATAAATGCATACAAATGCCAGATAACAAGTATACACTAACATATATTAAGATAACAGTAGAACTAGGCAATAAAAAACAATAAAAATACATACACAGTAAATTCATTACTTACCTTAAAATATTTGTAGTCTTAATGTAGGGTAAAAAGTGAGTGGCATTTATTTGCAGGAAGTGAGGTGTAGGCAGCCAGTAGGCGTAGGTAGCCAGGAAGCCCACTGGCTCCCATTCCCAAACATAATACAGCATCTCCTCACTCAACGACAGAGTTCTGTTCCTAAGACCACGTCGGTAAACGAATTAGTCACTAAACGAGGAGCATATTACTATAATGGTAATGGGTTTGTATCAACCATCTTTGCTATTGTTTTAATGTCAGCTATGCACCATTTATAACATTTTTAGCATATTTTTAAATGTTTATACAGCAGTGTACCGTATACTGTAATAAACAGAATAGAGGAAATCAGCTCTAATATACATTATATAGGTATGCATGCTGGTCAGAGAGCTTGTTGTAAGTCCAAGTCGTCAGTAAACGAGTACGTCGCTAAGTGAGGAAAGGCTGTATACGATATTTAAAGCAGCCCAGAGCGATAAAATGCACATACAGTACACTCATTACTTACCTTAAAATATGTGTAGTCTTAATGTAGAGTGAGAGGTGAGTATTATTTATTTGTAGGAAGTTAGGTACAGGTAACCGGTAGGTGAAGGTAGCCAGGAAGCCCACTGGCTCCCATTCCTAACGTAATACAGCCTCTCCTCACTTAATGATGGAGTTCTGTTCCTAAGACCATGTTGGTAAATGAATTCATCGCTAAGTGAGGAGCATACTATAATGGTAGTGGGTTTGTTTCAACCATCTTTGATATTGTTTTACTTTGTGTCAACCATGTTTGATATTGTCTTACTGTCACCTTTGCACCATTTAAAACATTACTGGTATATTTTTAAATATTTATACACTATATGCAAGATTATAGGTACGTCTTGCTACTTCTACTTACAGTTAGGTCACACTAAACATACATGTACATGTTTATTTATACACACTCATCTGAGTTTTCTTTGATTTTATCTTAGTTCTTGTTCTTATTACTTTTTCTTTTATATCCATGGGGAAGTGGAATAAGAATCTTTCCTCCGTAAGCCATGCATGTTGTAAAAGTCAACTAAAATGCCGGGAACAATGGGCTAGTAACCCCTTTTCCTGTAACAATTACTAAAAGGAATAATAAGAAGAAAACAGTGATTATGTGTGAGTGAGGTGAAAGTGTCGAATGATGATGAAAGTATTTTCTTTTTGGGGATTTTCTTTCTTTTTGGGTCACCCTGCCTCGGGGGGAGACGGCCGACTTGTTGAAAAAAAAAGAAAATTATACAGTAGTGTACTGTATATTGTAATAAACAGAATAAAGGAAATCAGCTCTAATATACATTAGAGAGCCCATTGTAAGTCCGAGACATTGGTAAACGAGTATATCGCTAAGTGAGGAGAGGCTGTATATGATATTTAAAGTGGCTCAGAGCGATATTATTACCATCGACATACCTTGTTCGCTGAGTTTAATCATTTCTAACAACTACATTTAGATGCCATCATAAACAAAGGGAGAAGTGATGAGAAGTCATGCCGAGAATTGTAAACAAAGCTGAATGCGTTAAGGGGAGTCACTGGGTCAAAGGCAGATTGATACACATTTTTTCTGGTGCTGGACCAGAGAAAACATAATTTTTTTCCTTCCACCCAGCTACCACACTTCATATATGAAATTTATTGTACTGTGGGTGTATGTATTATGTTTATATGCTGTGTTTCTTATATAATTTTGAAGAAAATATCAAAGATGGATTAATGAAAATGTCTATTAACTTAAGACATTTAATGTGCAAAAAAAAAAAATTATTATTATTATTACTATGGCATCAAGACTAAAGGGACACTCTTAGTGATTTTAATGTGTATCTGCACACCAGCAAAGTGTGTAAGTTTATTTAGGTACAGGTACACATAATTATAATTATCAGAGTACATACATATAAAATACACAATAACTTTAAAACACTTGAAATTTTGGAAAGTTTCCATAATGGAGAGATGTGCTCATGGAGAATGTAAAAAAACTGGGTGAGGGAAGCCGTACAGCGAGTTTTGGTCATAATTTGAAATGTCCATATTAGCGAAACGGCGTAAAGTGGGGCCCTACTGTAACATTCTTTAAATAATATTCTAAGTATTATAGATACACAAAATAATACAGCAAAGCTAAGATTTAAGACAAAAACTGTATATTATTGAGAAACTTTAGAATATATGCCAAACTACCAAGTGATCATTTAGTGCGAAGGGAAATATAAAAAAATGTGAGCAAAAGAGCCTACCTGATTACGCCATCAACTAAACTTGTTGCAATGACATTAATAGCGGTACCCTCAGGGGCAGAGGAGAATGTAATGGCTGTTACTGGTGCAGGAGTGACCGCTGAGTCAACCAAAGCCCCATTGATGGTGTAAAGTCGCAGTACAGAGGCAGCACATCCAAGCGGACTAACAGAAGCCCAATCTCCTAGTGTCTCACTCATAGCTAGAAGAGACACTTCAATACCACTGGAGCCAATGTTTCGGATATAAGACAACCTGTTGATAAAATTGCTGTATAAAGCTGCTTGTTTATAACTAAAACAATGAATTATATTCACATACACTATGTGGTGCATTCATTCTCTACATATTTTTTAAACACTGGCTGTCTCCCAGCAAGGCAGGGTGACCTGAAATAGAAGCTTTCACTATTAAAAATATCTGCAACATTTACTAAACCAAGCACTGTGATATCTGCTCATTCACATTAATTATGTAAAGCAATCCATAAGTAAACCATTTTTTTTTTACCCTCTCATCACATTACTGAATGAAATAAAAAAAAATGCCAATGTGTAATACTAGTGTAAATCTTTCTTTCAACACACCGGCCATATCCCACCAAGGCGGGGTGGCCCAAAAGGAAAAACAAAAGTTTCTCCTTTCACATTTAGTAATATATACAGGAGAAGGGGTTACTAGCCCCTTGCTCCTGGCATTTTAGTCGCCTCTTACAACACGCATAGCTTACGGAGGAAGAATTCTGTTCCACTTCCCCATGGAGAACTAGTGTAAATGTTTCTAATAATTGTTCTGCTGGTCTTTTGTAATATAGTACAGTTAGACCTCAAAAAGTGTAACACTCCAAGGTCACATTATTTGATTATCCAATGTTTTTACTGAAGAGAGTTCCACAAATATTTACAATTATTGTATTCCTAGTTTTTTGTGGTGACACTTTTGTTTTAGCTTGGTACACAGTCCCTAATTTAAAAAACTATAGAATTTCATTCAGAATGTGCACTCTGGATTTTCCATGCCCAAATATCCCACCTCATAGGACATTCTTATGAACGTCAATATTAATAAATAAAGTTAGAGAAATATTTAAATTGCTCTGGTCTCTTGAAACAAAATAAGCTCAAATCTTAAAAGGTTATTATTTATTATGGCCATAACTCAATGGTATTTATATATTTTTGATTTGCAGGGAACTCTAGAAAGACAACTGTATTTAATCTGTAGACCCGCTTGTACTGCATGGTATGAATTGTTTGAATAATAATTTGGAGTGACATCTAAACTGTCGTATCTGGGCGCTTCTGCCAAGACAGTGATTATGTGTGAATGGTGAAAGTGTTTCTTTTTTTAGGTCACCCTGCCTCAGTGGGCAATGGCCAAAGTGTTAATCCCTTGACTGTTGCAACCCCAAATCCTGAGGTGTCTTCTGGTGCCGCAAATTCCCCCCCCCAAAAAAAATCTTACGAAATGATAGAGAATCTTTTCCCGATTGTAGTGACACTAAAAGAACTAAATTTGATGGAAAACTGACGGAATTACGCTCTCATGAAGTTAGCGACCTCGGCGATATTTACGAATCAGTGATTTTGCCCACTTTTGAGCCCTATTTTCAGCTAATTCCATTGTTCCAGTCGACCGAACTCATAGCTATTTCTTTAGAACTCCATTTTTTTTTCGATTGAGTACAAGAAACTGCCCATTTACCGATTTCAACTACCCAATAACGTGGTCAGAAATTTGCAATTTGGCCAATTTCATGAAAATTAAAAAATATGACAATTTCAAAATAGGGTCCAGAATGAACAATGCAGACATTCCTGGCTCTAAAATAACATTTTCTTTTTTCATCAGTCACATCTCCAGGCCCCTCTGATATTACTCTTGCTTTCTGTTTTGAATTTTTATTCAAACAAAAAAATAGAAGATTTACTGTTATGCAGACTACTGCAATGTTGTAATAATTGTATAAATAATGTCAAACCATTCATGACTGCATATCAGAATGGCTACTTGGACATTTATTGGAAAATGACATCATGTTTACTTTTGAACATCGGCAAAAATCAAACATTTCCCCTACTTTGAGCTCGATTTCAAGGTTCTTTTCATAATAAAACCAATCTATTTCTATAATATGTTTTCTATTCTATCAAAGGAGAACAAGAAAACGAGAATACAAACATAAATACTATATGAAAATAGACCACAAAGTCGGCATTTTAATTAAAAAAAAAAAAAAAAACGGTCGGAGTTTTTTTTTTCTCATTATGCACTGCGTGCTGCAGGATTTTTTTTTATATGGTGCACACTGACCACACAGACCCATTCTCTCACATGTGGGCCTACCAGCTTTCTCCTACTTGATTTGAAGCCGCTAGAATTAATGAATATATATACGTCAAAAATGGTGGCTCGTAAGACATATATATACGACCAAAACAGTCAAAGGGTTAAAAAAATTAATTTTTTTAAATATCGGCACAAAATTTAGAATTTCAGTTTGGGAAAGCTTTTGAATAATTTTTAAAGAATTAGAGAATATTTTCTTAAAATCTGAATTTTGTAATTTTTCCTCATTTCTGAGCAGTTCAAGGCCTTTTCACTAATTCTGAATAAAGAAAATACTGAAATTCAGTTGGGAAACTCTCACTTAATTTTTAGCTTGGTGTAGTTATATGAATTCACTGATGCAGCATCACACAGACACAGACACTCTTAGTTAAATTCTATTTTTTTAATGTATTGGTAGTCTCCAACCGCGGCAGGGTAACTTATCAAGAAAAAAAATCTTCTTTTGATATTTAGTAATTTATACAGAAGAATGGGTTACTAGCCCCTTGCTCCTGTCATTTTCAGGTCACCTCTTAAGAGGAAGGATTCTTCTCCACTTCTACAAGTGTGGCACTATGATAATTTTAGTTGGGAGGCTCAGGTATGAACATGCATAAATGTTGCAAGTTTCAAGATACAATTCATAAAGCTATTATTTTTTTTATTTTTTTTTATTATCACACTGGCCGATTCCCACCAAGGCAGGGTGGCCCAAAAAAGAAAAACTTTCACCATCATTCACTCCATCACTGTCTTGCCAGAAGGGTGCTTTACACTACAGTTTTTAAACTGCAACATTAACACCCCTCCTTCAGAGTGCAGGCACTGTACTTCCCATCTTCAGGACTCAAGTCCGGCCTGCCGGTTTCCCTGAACCCCTTCATAAATGTTACTTTGCTCACACTCCAACAGCACGTCAAGTATTAAAAACCATTTGTCTCCATTCACTCCTATCAAACACGCTCACGCATGCCTGCTGGAAGTCCAAGCCCCTCGCACACAAAACCTCCTTTACCCCCTCCCTCCAACCTTTCCTAGGCCGACCCCTACCCCGCCTTTCTTCCACTACAGACTGATACACTCTTGAAGTTATTCTGTTTCGCTCCATTCTCTCCACATGTCCGAACCACCTCAACAACCCTTCCTCAGCCCTCTGGACAACAGTTTTGGTAATCCCGCACCTCCTCCTAACTTCCAAACTACGAATTCTCTGCATTATATTCACACCACACATTGCTCTCAGACATGACATCTCCACTGCCTCCAGCCTTCTCCTCGCTGCAACATTCATCACCCATGCTTCACACCCATATAAGAGCGTTGGTAAAACTATACTCTCATACATTCCCCTCTTTGCCTCCAAGGACAAAGTTCTTTGTCTCCACAGACTCCTAAGTGCACAACTCACCCTTTTCCCCTCATCAATTCTATGATTCACCTCATCTTTCATAGACCCATCCGCTGACACGTCCACTCCCAAATATCTGAATACATTCACCTCCTCCATACTCTCTCCCTCCAATCTGATATCCAATCTTTCATCACCTAATCTTTTTGTTATCCTCATAACCTTACTCTTTCCTGTATTCACTTTCAATTTTCTTCTCTTGCACACCCTACCAAATTCATCCACCAATCTCTGCAACTTCTCTTCAGAATCTCCCAAGAGCACAGTGTCATCAGCAAAGAGCAACTGTGACAACTCCCACTTTATGTGTCATTCTTTATCTTTTAACTCCACGCCTCTTGCCAAGACCCTCGCATTTACTTCTCTTACAACCCCATCTATAAATATATTAAACAACCACGGTGACATCACACATCCTTGTCTAAGGCCTACTTTTACTGGGAAATAATTTCCCTCTTTCCTACATACTCTAACTTGAGCCTCACTATCCTCGTAAAAACTCTTCACTGCTTTCAGTAACCTACCTCCCACACCATACACCTGCAACATCTGCCACATTGCCCCCCTATCCACCCTGTCACACGCCTTTTCCAAACCCATAAATGCCACAAAGACCTCTTTAGCCTTATCTAAATACAGTGGACCCCCGCATAACGATGGCATCACATAGCGATTATTTCGCATACCGCTTACTTTAATTGCAAAAATTTTGCCTCACATACCGCTTAAAAACCCGCTTACCGATTTTCGTCCGAGACGCGTCCAATGTGCGGCCTGAGCCACGCTCACATGTTCCGCCGGTGGCATTGTTTACCAGCCAGCCTCCGCGGTAACATCCAAGCATACAATCGGAATATTTCGTATTATTACAGTGTTTTCGGTGCTTTTTCTGGAAAATAAGTGACCATGGGCCCCAAGAAAGCTTCTAGTGCCAACCCTACAGCAATAAGTGTGAGAATTACAATAGAGATGAAGAAAAAGATCATTGATAAGTATGAAAGTGGAGTGCATGTCTCCGAGCTGGCCAGGTTGTATAATAAACCCCAATCAACCATCGCTACTATTGGTGGTACAGCTGCTGCTGCTGCTGCACTGTCAGCTGCTGCTGCTGCTGTAGCACCGTTGTTGGTGTGGCTTATTGAGAATACCAAGAAACAATTAACCCCAGAGGATTTGCCACCCAGGATAACCCAAAAAAGTCAGTGTCATCGAAGACTGTCTAACTTATTTCCATTGGGGTCCTTAATCTTGTTCTCCCAGGATGCAACCCACACAAGTCGACTAACACCCAGGTGAACAGGGAAAAATGCCTGGAACTAGTGCTCATATTGGTGAATTTAAAGCCAGCAAAGGTTGGTTTGAGAGATTTAAGAATCGTAGTGGCATACACAGTGTGATAAGGCCTGTTCTGGAAGAAAATGCCAAACAGGACCTACAGTACTCAGGAGGAAAAGGCACTCCCAGGACACAGTGTCTCATCAGTCATTGCTGCATCTTCAATAAAGGTAAGTGTCATTTATTCTTCATTTAGTAGACTAGTACATGCACAATATATACTGTGCATGTACTACTCTACTATTGTGCATGTATCCTTCTCTTTGTGTGTGGGAAAATGTATATTTCATGTGGTAAAATTTTTTTTTTCATACTTTTGGGTGTCTTGCACGGATTAATTTGATTTCCATTATTTCTTATGGGGAAAATTCATTCACATAACGATTATTTCGCATAACAATTACCCCTCTTGCACGGATTAAAATCGTTAACCGGGGGTCCACTGTACTGTTCACTTATATGTTTCACTGTAAACACCTGGTCCACACACCCCCTACCTTTCCTAAAGCCTCCTTGTTCATCTGCTATCCTATTCTCCGTCTTACTCTTAATTCTTTCAATAATAACTCTACCATACACTTTGCCAGGTATACTCAACAGACTTATCCCCCTATAATTTTTGCACTCTCTTTTATCCCCTTTGCCTTTATACAAAGGAACTATGCATGCTCTCTGCCAATCCCTAGGTACCTTACCCTCTTCCATACATTTATTAAATAATTGCACCAACCACTCCAAAACTATATCCCCACCTGCTTTTAACATTTCTATCTTTATCCCATCAATCCCGGCTGCCTTACCCCCTTTCATTTTACCTACTGCCTCACGAACTTCCCCCACACTCACAACTGGCTCTTCCTCACTCCTACAAGATGTTGTTCCTCCTTGCCCTATACACGAAATCACAGCTTCCCTATCTTCATCAACATTTAACAATTCCTCAAAATATTCCCTCCATCTTCCCAATACCTCTAACTCTCCATTTAATAACTCTCCTCTCCTATTTTTAACTGACAAATCCATTTGTTCTTTAGGCTTTCTTAACTTGTTAATCTCACTCCAAAGCTTTTTCTTATTTTCAACAAAATTTGTTGATAACATCTCACCCACTCTCTCATTTGCTCTCTTTTTACATTGCTTCACCACTCTCTTAACCTCTCTCTTTTTCTCCATATACTCTTCCCTCCTTGCATCACTTCTACTTTGTAAAAACTTCTCATATGCTAACTTTTTCTCCCTTACTACTCTTTTCACATCATCATTCCACCAATCGCTCCTCTTCCCTCCCGCACCAACTTTCCTGTAACCACAAACTTCTGCTGAACACTCTAACACTACATTTTTAAACCTACCCCATACCTCTTCAACCCCATTGCCTATGCTCTCATTAGCCCATCTATCCTCCAATAGCTGTTTATATCTTACCCTAACTGCCTCCTCTTTTAGTTTATAAACCTTCACCTCTCTCTTCCCTGATGCTTCTATTCTCCTTGTATCCCATCTACCTTTTACTCTCAGTGTAGCTACAACTAGAAAGTGATCTGATATATCTGTGGCCCCTCTATAAACATGTACATCCTGAAGTCTACTCAACAGTCTTTTATCTACCAATACATAATCCAACAAACTACTGTCATTTCGCCCTACATCATATCTTGTATACTTATTTATCCTCTTTTTCTTAAAATATGTATTACCTATAACTAAACCCCTTTCTATACAAAGTTCAATCAAAGGGCTCCCATTATCATTTACACCTGGCACCCCAAACTTACCTACCACACCCTCTCTAAAAGTTTCTCCTACTTTAGCATTCAGGTCCCCTACCACAATTACTCTCTCACTTGGTTCAAAGGCTCCTATACATTCACTTAACATCTCCCAAAATCTCTCTCTCTACTCTGCATTCCTCTCTTCTCCAGGTGCATACACGCTTATTATGACCCACTTCTCGCATCCAACCTTTACTTTAATCCACATAATTCTTGAATTTACACATTCATATTCTCTTTTCTCCTTCCATAACTGATCATTCAACATTACTGCTACCCCTTCTTTTGCTCTAACTCTCTCAGATACTCCAGATTTAATCCCATTTATTTCCCCTCACCGAAACTCCCCTACCCCCTTCAGCTTTGTTTCGCTTAGGGCCAGGACATCCAACTTCTTTTCATTCATAACATCAACAATCATCTGTTTCTTGTCATCCGCACTACATCCACGCACATTTAAGCATCCCAGTTTTATAAAGTTTTTCTTCTTCTCTTTTTTAGTAAATGTCTACAGGAGAAGGGGTTACTAGCCCATTGCTCCCGGCACTTTAGTCGTCTCATACGACACGCATGGCTTACGGAGGAAAGATTCTTTTCCACTTCCCCATGGACAATAGAAGAAATAAAGAGGAACAAGAGCTATTTAGAAAAAGGAGAAAAACCTAGATGTATGTATATATATATGCATGTGCGTGTCTGTGAAGTGTGACCAAAGTGTAAGTAGGAGTAGCAAGATATCCCTGTTATCTAGAGTGTTTATGAGACAGAAAAAGAAACCAGTAATCCTACCATAATGCAAAACAGTTACAGGTTTCTGTTTCACAGTCATCTGGCAGGACAGTAGTACTTCCCTGGGTGGTTGCTGTCTACCAACCTACTATCTACCTACTACCTACTACCTAAAGCTATTCTCAAGATATTAATCTATAAGCCATTACAATGTGTAGTCCTTTATCATCATGCTCTTCTCGGTTCCATACTTTAACCTGCTGCCATCCTTCTTTCCCCGTCCTTACCAAGGTTCTGGTCATAGTACCCCTGTAGGTTTAGCACTTCTTTTTGATTATACTATCTGGTCATAGTTTCATTCAAATATTCTGTGAAGGGATTCAGGGAAACTGGTTAGCTGGACTTGAGTCCTGGAAGCGAGATGTACAATGCGTACACTTTAAATGAGGGGTTTGGGATGTTGGCTGTTTGGGGTGACATCTAAACTGTAGTATTTGAGCGCCTCTGCAAAGACAGTGATTGTGTATGAATGATGGTGAAAGTGTTGAATGATGAAAGATTTTTTTTTTTCTTTTTGGGGTTTTCTTTCCTTCTGGGTCACCTTGCCTTGGTGGGAAATGGCCGACATGTTAAACAAAAAAAAAAAAAAAACTAATGTGAAAGACCCAGGAGTGATCATGTCAGAGGATCTTACCTTCAAAGACTATAACATTGTATCAATCGTATCTGCTAGAAAAACGACAGGATGGACAATGAGAACCTTCAAAACTAGGGATGCCAAGCCCATGATGACACTCTTCAGGTTGCTTGTTCTATTTAGGCTGGAAGATTGCTGCACACTAACAGCACCTTTCAAGGCAGGTGAAATTGCTGATCTAGAAAATGCACAGAGAACCTTCACGGCACACACAACTGCGATAAAACACCTCAATTACTGGGAATGCTTGAAGTTCCTCAACCTGTACTCCCTAGAACACAGGCAGTAGAGATGCATGATTATATACACTTGGAAAATCCTATTGGGATTAGTACCAAACCTGCACACGAAAATCACTCCCTACAAAAGCAAAAGACTTGGCAGATGATGCAACATCCCCCCAATGAAAAGCAGGGGTGCCACTAGCATGATAAGAGACAACACAGTAAGTGTCAGGGGCCCCAAGACTGTTCAAATGCCTCCCAGCATACATAAGGGGGATTACCAATAGACTCCTGGCTGTGTTCAAAGAGACACTGGACAGGCACCTAAAGTGAGTACCTGACCAGCCGGGCTGTGGTTCATACATCGGGTTGCGTGTGGCCAACAGTAACAACCTGGTTGATCAGGCCCTGATCCAAAATGAGGCCTGGTCACAGACTGGGCGGTGGGGGCGTTGACTCCCGGAACCCTCTCCAGGTATACTCCAGGTAATTTGATTTATGTAGGGAGTATACAGAATTATTAACTATTTAAAGTACAGTGGACCCCCGCATAACGATTACCTCCGAATGTGACCAATTATGTAAGTGTATTTATGTAAGTGTGTTTGTACGTGTATGTTTGGGGGTCTGAAATGGACTAATCTACTTCACAATATTTCTTATGAGAACAAATTCGGTCAGTACTCGCACCTGAACATACTTCTGGAGTGAAAAAATATCGTTAACCGGGGGTCCACTGTATTTTATACTTCTGGCATACTCTTCACCTTTGCTGGTCTCTGATCTAGCATATTACATCTTAAGCACATCCTATCCTGCACTGCTGTATGTAATTTTGGGTTTAGAGCTTAGTTTTGTTTGTAATAATAATAATAATAATACTAATACTAATAAAGGAGCAAGGGGCTCTATTATTATTATTATTACAATACATTAGTAATGTTACAAAGAGAAACTTTCGTTTTTCTTTTTAGGTCACCCTGCCTCGGTGGGATATGGTCGGTTTGATAAAAAAAAAGCATTTTATAAGCTGATGAATAATGGATTGTTGTAAATAGTCAAAGCAACAGATTAAGAAGTTGAATCAAATGTAAACCCACAAAAAAACCCAAATATTAAGGTCAAACTCGCCTATTTGTATCCCAGAGAGCACACATCCCATCTTTGCCACTAGAAATGCACACACTGAAGGCTTCGGATATGTGCATGGTGGTGATTGGAGCAGTGTGTGCTAAGAGGAAAGTTGGTGGTACACTAGCGGTCAACTCATCCCCGATGTGATTAGGACTGACTGAGTACACCAGGATCTGACCTGAGGCCAATCCAACCCACACTTGACTGCTTCCACAGCTACACCACATTACCTAAAATACATATTAAAAACAATAATTAATCTAAGCCACGACAATAAAGAATAAATAGATCCACTGGACAATCAAGTTTTATTTAACATATTTTAAAATGGTTAAAACAAACAATGCAAGCGTATGAAGCATAACTGATACTCTTAGAACTCTTCAACAGTAGCAGATTAAGTGGTGCCATGAGGCAACACATATATTGTTCATGCAAACCATGGTATGGGTGGGGTTTGAACCCATGGCGAGTGAATCTTAAAACTCCAGGCCAGTGCATAAGCCACTCAACAAAATGGTTACAGTAAGATTCATCCAACTAGGTGTATAAATATACCTAGCTGGGTGAGTCCAAGTGTAGGTAGCTGGACGAGTGGCTTACGTGCTGGCCTGGAGTTTTACCACTCACTCGCCATGGATTAGAACCCCACCCGTACTGTGGTTTGCTTGCAAGTGTTTTATTATAATTTCGTGAGACATTCTTCAGGCAATATATCTTCTTTCAACACACCGGCCGTATCCCACCGAGGCGGGGTGGCCCAAAAGAAAAAACCAAAGTTTCTCCTTTCAAATTTAGTAATATATACAGGAGAAGGGGTTACTAGCCCCTTGCTCCCGGCATTTTAGTCGCCTCTTACATCACGCATGGCTTACGGAGGAAGAATTCTGTTCCACTTCCCCATGGAGATAAGAGGAAATAAACAAGAACAAGAACTAGAAAGAAAATAGAAGAAAACCCAGAGGGGTATGTATATATACGCTTGTACATGTATGTGTAGTGTGACCTGAGTGTAAGTAGAAGTAGCAAGACGTACCTGAAATTTTGCATGTTCATGAGACAGAAAAAAGGACACCAGCAATCCTACCATCATGTAAAACAATTACAGGCTTTCGTTTTACACTCACTTGGCAGGACGGTAGTACCTCCCTGGGCGGTTGCTGTCTACCAACCTACTACCTAGGAGGCAATATATTAATATAAAATAAATATCTAAATATGATGCCTGGGCATGGAAGGCAATTAGTTTATAGTTGTCTAGAACAGTCAACTGGTATTGATGTTCTTTAAAGCAAAGCAATGAATTTCTGATAAGAGGAAATCAGATTTGTAATTTTTCTTTTTCTGTCACTCTTAGTAGTACAGACTTTGTTGCTCTCTAAACTTTGCCAAGTAAACATACGAAAAGCGTAAATATAAAATAGTAAACTGAAATTCAAGCATTAATACAGCAAGGAAAAGGGTTTAGCAATTACAGTACACAAGATAAATAAGGAGAATTCATGTAGCAGTATAATATACACTGAGGCCAATGACTTACAGTATACTGTATTGTTAAACACTTTAATTCAATGTAGAACTTTCTTTTAAAGCTGTACATTTGTGAACTTAAAAAATAAAGGTTTATCTTCTAAAGCTGAATTCACAAATAAAATATTATATAGGTATCATGTCTTACATCTTCCTAACCTTTAAGCAGAACAAATGATCTTACTTCATCATAATGAGGCACAGATATTAGGGGGTAAGCTACAGTGTCTTTCAGACGTCTGCACCGGATGATGCCATCATGGTGATATGATGACAGTATATAAGCACTGCTCGTACCTTGAAAACAAATGACTGAATAAGTTAAAGATCATGGTACAGCAGTAAAGCAATGTTATTTAACCATTAAACTGTCCAAAAATAGATCTACGTTCATGTGCGTAGCACTCTGAACGTAGATGTACATTTTTTTTTTTATGTGCTTTCAAATGGAGAAAATAAAGGTCAGAGCGCTACACACGTAAACGTAGTTCCATGTTTGGACAGTTTAAGGGTTAAAATGATAACAGTACATAATGGTGACAAAACTCTTAAGTATTATTTAAGTCTCTGAAATATGTTTCATCATTACAGTACAGCATGTGCAATTATGGTACATTTTTAATACATCAGCCATTTCCCACCTAGGAAGGGTGACAAGAAAAAGAAAATACATTCACAATCACTCAGTAACAGCTATCTTGCGAGAAGTATGTGGACATCACAGTTCAAGTGACCAAATGTGTAATTATATGCAACACTTAGAACTGCTAATCATAAGTTTGTAGTAAATTAGCTAGTCTTCCATGGATATTTGAGCATCCTGGCCACATCAGTCAGGCAACTTTCAATTATACAGATTTACAGTAATGTTGCTACCACCTGCAATGTCAGAGGGTTGGAAGAATGATCTAGATTGTTGTCAATGAAAAATCCCTTGAAGAATTGGACACTTTTGCCACATCATTGTGGAAACATTTTGTCGACAAGTGGCTTCCTCAGTCTGGTACAGAAAGCCTGATTACCTTACACTCCTCATCTTCCACTCATCTCTGTATCAGACTGAGGAGGCCACTTGTTGGTGAAATGTTTCCATAATATAGATACCTAAATGTTTGAAAAAGTGTTTAATTCTTCAACTATTTACATCACCAAGTCCCTTGATCAAAACACTGTTCAATACAAATGAACCTACAATTTTAATGATTTCCTAATATAGGTTTTTGACTATCCAATATTCTGAATGAAAGACCTTCGGTGAATAGCATTCATTATTCTCACGGCCTATTTCAAGGCGTTTGGCACATGACTGCTAAACTGAAAATATTTTATCATCACAATAATGAAGTAGGATTGTTCAAGTGCTGTGTTGGAAGCATCACTCCTCAAGCAAAACACTTTGTTGACATCTAACAACTTTAATATGATGACACTGGAAAATATTATAACAGGATGCAGTTCAAAATATACTCTATGAATTTTGTGCCCAAATCTTCTTTTCTATCCTGATACTCTTTCTCAGAGCAATACTGAAAAAGATATGGCTTCTGAAACACAAATGAACCCAAATCTGTAAAAATTATTATGAAGGCATGATTTCTGTATCATCTGCCAATTACAAATTTGCAAGACTTTAATCATGTAACCACAACAAATTTGGATATTTTAGTACAGTATATAATACAGTAATTATGAATATTCCTTCTTAAAATCAAATACTAATGTTTCTTTATTTGTTAATTGAAAACATGTTCACAGCTTTCACTGAGATTATCAAGCTTTCTTAAAGTTGACCATTTACTATGTAGAAAATAAAATTCCTGGAGATGGGAAGTACAGTGCCTTCACTCTGAAGGAGGGATGTTAATGTTGCGGTTTTATAACTGTGGTGTGAGCGCACCTCTGGCAAGACAGTGATGGAGTGAATGATGAAAGTTTTTCTTTTTTGGACCACCCTACTTTGGTGGGAAACGGCTGATGTGTTAATAATAAAAAAAAATCTTGGGATATATTTACCTTTATTTAGACCAATATTAAGAATGTGTGTGTGTGGTGGCATTAAAAGTAGCTCATTAGGCAATATACTGGTGATGTATGCTGCAGGAGTCTTAAGAGTCTGTACAAGAGCCAAGATGGGACGATCATCAGCAGGAGAGCCAGCGTATGTTCCCCAACGCAATCCACGTACTTCGTGTAACACTTCAGGAGCCTAAAGGGTTCAGATTTGGATGAAATAATAAATTAACTATTAAAGAAATCAATCAAATACCATATATAAATCATGACTACAAGATTTCTTCACAAAATGATTTGGGAATAGCTACAGTAAGTAGTCTGGTTGTTGAGAGCATATATGAATGATTAGGTAGTAATACACAAATAACCTGCACATAGTAGAAAGAGGAGCTTATGACGACATTTCGGTCCAAGTTGGATCGAAATGTTGTTTTAAGCTCTTCTCTCCTATGTGTGGGTTATTTGTCTATTGCTCCAGTCATGGTATTGCACCTTTATGTTATTTAATTAGGTAGTGAAGTTGTAATGACAGACACGACTGAAAAGTTTTGTAATGTTAAATTGCACAATCAAGCTGCTATACTATATATTATTGACTTTCAAGAATATATGAATTATGAATGATTAGGTAGTGAAGTTATAATGAAAGACATGATTGCAAAGCTTATTAATATTTAAACTGCACAATGAAACTACTGCACTATATATTCTTGATTTTCAATTATAAAACTACTCTTTAAATGGAAACTTGCTTGAGGATTTTGTGCTGGTCCAGTACTGTTCACACTTGGATGAGGACCGGTGAAAAGCTGTTGTGGTGTTTGTCCGTACGTCTTAATCATTGCTTTGCGAGCCTCACGACTTATTTCATCAATGCCATTATCCACATCATAACCAAAATATGTCTGGAGATGAAAAATGTATTACAAATTTCTTTTATGCATGCAGAAGATGCTGCAGAGACTGCTAAAGTGGGAGGTTATGCAAATGAAGGAAGTTGAAAGTGAATGCACAAAAAAAGCAAGGTGATGAATATGACACTCAATTATATTTCTTAACTATTCATTATTTATATTTTCTTGAATTTTCCAGGTTTTTCACTCGGATCATCTTCAGTAACGTAATCTAAAATAGTTTTAATAAAAACTGATGAGTTATTTCAAAACAGTCCTGGGTAAAATGGTTTTGGTAAGAAATTTTGTTTTAATGCAACACTGAAAACAGCTATACAATGCCTACTTCCTCCTTATTTAATACAAAATCCAATAAAAAAGTTATTACTACCTCTTACTATCATCTTATGAGTTGTTTTAACTAAAATAGGAAAGGTCAAATACAAAGATAACAGGATCTTCTGGGAAGACATTCAAAGTGGTGTCACCACCTGTGTCACTGCAATATTTTTATTTATCAATGTCACATTTGCACCACACACTAGGATACTCTTTTCAGAAGGAAGAACAACCCAGGAAACTGGTGGCCTAACTGTATAATGTTGTCATTATTAAAGTGGCCAAAAATGGAATAACTGCCTATTTTTATATTCATGGGGATGCACTAGGCCAGCAGGGTAATACAGAGTTAGGGGGATTGGAGGTAAGCAGGTTTGAACCCAGGTAGTAAAGGGTAGCTCTAAGTTCTTTTTTTCAAGAAGAGGGAAGGTCACACCCTCCTTGCTCCTCTCTTGTTAGAGATAATTTCTCCACAAGCCCTTCATCAGGAAACAGTCACCTAGCCCAACATCAGTTTTACTTCCAGAAAATTTAGTTCTTTTTTTAAACATTTTTTTTAACAAGCTGGCCATCTTCCACCAAGGTAGAGTGACCCAAAAAAGAAACACACACTTGCAGCATCATTCAAACATAATCACTGTCTTTGCAAAGGTGCCCAGACATGACAGTTTATACAATTACAGTGGAACCTCTGCTTTCGAATTTAATCCGTTTCGTGACTTTGTTCGTATCCTGATTTGTTCATATGCTGGGTTAATTTTCCTCATTTAAATTAACTGAAATGCCATTAATTCGTTCCATGGGAATTCCTGTTGTCAGGAGGCATGACAAAATAGTACTTCAATATGATGCTATGGCTTATTTATCTATCACAATTCATCTAATATGACATAATAAACAATAATAATAACATAGAAACATGATATATACTCTAGAATGAATAAAATAAACCATAATATGGCAAGTGATGGCGATGCCGTCAGTGGCGGAAAGCATCCACCATTTACTCTCCCAGTCTAGTATCTTCCCAGTCCATAATCCTACACCTAGCTTGTGTTTATCTATGATTAGTGGTGAGGTTGTCACATATGTAACCACAAGTGTGGTCAAAACAGATGCATATATAGGTGAAGATGTGATCACTGTGGCCACAGTGGTGGTGGTGGTGGCTTTCAGCTTCATCACTCTCTGTTACTGCCTCACTCTCTGCTACTGCCTCACTTTCTGCTGCTGCCTCACTTTGCTGCTGCTGCCTCACTTTGCTGCTGCTTCACCCTCTGCTGCTGCCTCACCCTCTGCTGCTGCCTCATTCTCTGCTGGTGCCTCACTCTCTGCTGCTGCCTCACTCTCTGCTGCTGCCTCACTCTCTGTTACTGCCTCACTCTCTGCTACTGCCTCACTTTCTACTGCTGCCTCACTTTGCTGCTGCTTCACCCTCTGCTGCTGCCTCACTCTCTGCTGCTGCCTCACTCTCTGCTGCTGCCTCACTCTCTGCTGCTGCCTCACTCTCTGCTGCTGCCTCACTCTCTGCTGCTGCCTCACTCTCTGCTGCTGCCTCACTCTCTGCTGCTGCTTCACCCTCTGCTGCTGCTTCACCCTCTGCTGCTGCCTCACCCTCTGCTGCTGCCTCACTCTCTGCTGCTTCTTCACTCTCTGCTGCTGCTTCACTCTACTGCTGCTTCACTCTCTGCTGCTGCTTCACCCTCTGCTGCTGCCTCACCCTCTGCTGCTGCCTCACCCTCTGCTGCTGCCTCACTCTGCTGCTGCCTCACCCTCTGCTGCTGCCTCACTCTCTGCTACTGCCTCTCTCTGCTGCTGCTTCACCCTCTGCTGCTGCTTCACCCTCTGCTGCTGCCTCACTCTGCTGATGCTTCACTCTCTGCTGCTGCCTCATTCTCTGCTGCTGCCTCACTCTGCTGATGCTTCACTCTCTGCTGCTGCCTCACTCTCTGCTGCTGCCTCACTCTGCTGCTGCTTCACTCTCTGCTGCTGTCTCATTCTCTGCTGATGCTTCACTCTCTGCTGCTGCCTCACTCTCTGCTGCTGCCTCACTCTGCTGATGTTTCACTCTATGCTGCTGCCTCACTCTCTGCTGCTGCCTCACTCTGCTGCTGCCTCACCCTCTGCTGCTGCCTCACTCTCTGCTACTGCCTCTCTCTGCTGCTGCTTCACCCTCTGCTGCTGCCTCACTCTGCTGATACTTCACTCTCTGCTACTGCCTCACTCTCTGCTGCTGCCTCACTCTGCTGATGCTTCACTCTCTGCTGCTGCCTCACTCTCTGCTGCTTCCTTCTTCATTTCTCTAGCTTTTTTATAATTTCTAATTGCTTCCTGAGCTTCTTGCTGATCATACGTGAATACTGTCTCTTGGGGCGAGGCATTGTGTAAGAAATTTGTACAATATTAGACAAAATTATGAGTCCCAAGGGTCTGCTGTGGTCACTCAAAGCGACATACCTCCTCTTCCTTTTGATCCTTGGTCGGCACTGAGATAGCCGTGGTCTCACAGTAGCTACAGCCAGCTATAGGGTTATCAATTTGTATTTTGAAGCATTTGGAACAAAAATACGAAAAAAATTATGAAAAATGTCAAAAAATGACAACATATAATTATTATTATTGTTAATTTAGGGAACTGGAGCACAGATCCAATTCCCTAGATCATACGTACTACTACTAATTATTATTATAACAATAATAATTTTTTTTTTTTTTATCACACTGGCCGATTCCCACCAAGGCAGGGTGGCCCGAAAAAGAAAAACTTTCACCATCATTCGCTCCATCACTGTCTTGCCAGAAGGGTGCTTTACACTACACCCTTCTGGCAAGACAGTGATGGAGCGAATGATGGTGAAAGTTTTTCTTTTTCGGGCCACCCTGCCTTGGTGGGAATCGGCCAGTGTGATAAAAAAAAAAAAAAAAAAAAAAAAAAAAAAAAAAAAAAAAAAAAAAAAAAAATAATACAATAACAATAATAATAATAATACAATATAATAGTAATAGTAATGATAGTGGCTTTCTTTGTTCCAATCATATTATGATATGTAAACACACATTGTAACCCTTGCAAAGAAATAAATATTTTATTTATTTGTTTATTTATTTACAGTATTTATGTAAGGAACCTCCCTTGAGGGGGAAGGGCACATCCTGAAAAGTTCACATGGTGGGGCATTTGTAAGCAGAGGTTCCAGTGTACTATCATTATTTTCTTTTAGTGATACAAATGTGTACATGCACAGGGGTCTGTTAGTACAGCATAAAGAATTAGGACGATACAAAAGGTAAAGTAGTTTGGAAAGATCAAGGCATATGGAATGGGAATTTCACCATTTGAAACAAACTGTGTAAGGACTAGGGAAGAAGCCAGCAAACTTACAAAGGTGCCTGTTAGTCCCGAGAACTCCTTGCACAATTAATCAAAGCATATTAAGTGGACCCTCATTTTTCGTAAGCATCATACGTTGTAATTTTTGAAAATCGTAATGTTTTTTCGTAAAAATATTGACTCACGAATTGTCTTTTGACTCGCAAAGTCATTTGTCCCAGACATGTACGTACATACATGTTACTAAATGCTGTAAAGAGTTTTTATGAGGATAGTGAGGCTCAGGTTAGGGTGTGTAGAAGAGAGGGAGAATACTTCCCGGTAAAAGTAGGTCTTAGACAGGGATGTGTAATGTCACCATGGTTGTTTAATATATTTATAGATGGGGTTGTAAAAGAAGTAAATGCTAGGGTGTTCGGGAGAGGGGTGGGATTAAATTATGGGGAATCAAATTCAAAATGGGAATTAACACAGTTACTTTTTGCTGATGATACTGTGCTTATGGGAGATTCTAAAGAAAAATTGCAAAGGTTAGTGGATGAGTTTGGGAATGTGTGTAAAGGTAGAAAGTTGAAAGTGAACATAGAAAAGAGTAAGGTGATGAGGGTATCAAATGATTTAGATAAAGAAAAATTGGATATCAAATTGGGGAGGAGGAGTATGGAAGAAGTGAATGTTTTCAGATACTTGGGAGTTGACGTGTCGGCGGATGAATTTATGAAGGATGAGGTTAATCATGGAATTGATGAGGGAAAAAAGGTGAGTGGTGCATTGAGGTATATGTGGAGTCAAAAAACATTATCTATGGAGGCAAAGAAGGGAAAGTATGAAAATATAGTAGTACCAACACTCTTATATGGGTGTGAAGCTTGGGTGGTAAATGCAGCAGCGAGGAGACGGTTGGAGGCAGTGGAGATGTCCTGTCTAAGGGCAATGTGTGGTGTAAATATTATACAGAAAATTCGGAGTGTGGAAATTAGGAAAAGGTGTGGAGTTAATAAAAGTATTAGTCAGAGGGCAGAAGAGGGGTTGTTGAGGTGGTTTGGTCATTTAGAGAGAATGGATCAAAGTAGAATGACATGGAAAGCATATAAATGTATAGGGGAAGGAAGGCGAGGTAGGGGTCGTCCTCGAAAGGGTTGAAGAGAGGGGGTAAAGGAGGTTTAGTGGGCAAGGGGCTTGGACTTCCAGCAAGCGTTCGTGAGCGTGTTAGATAGGAGTGAATGGAGACGAATGGTACTTGGGACCTGACGATCTGTTGGAGTGTGAGCAGGGTAATATTTAGTGAAGGGATTCAGGGAAACCGGTTATTTTCATATAGTCAGACTTGAGTCCTGGAAATGGGAAGTACAATGCCTGCACTTTAAAGGAGGGGTTTGGGATATTGGCAGTTTGGAGGGATATGTTGTGTATCTTTATGCGTATATGCTTCTAAGCTGTTGTATTCTGAGCACCTCTGCAAAAACAGTGATTATGTGTGAGTGTGGTGAAAGTGTTGAATGATGATGAAAGCATTTTCTTTTTGGGGATTTTCTTTCTTTTTTGGGTCACCCTGCCTCAGGCTACTGAGGGCTACTGAGAACACTGCTGCCTCTGCTGGCCTTCACCACCACTATGTATGGCTTATGCTCTCAGTGGCCCTTATACACCCAACAACAAAACACACCACCACTCATTACATATGTACATTGGAACCCTGAGTTTCGGCCACCCTGAGCATCAGATGCTTCGAGCTTCGACTGCTTTTTTCGGCTAAATTTTGTCCCGAGTTTTGGCCTGTGCCCCGTGTTTCGGCCGCCGTACCAGACCTGTCCACCTGCCCGCACGGCAGGCACCGTGAGCCAGTCTAGCTTTGTTTATCCTCGAGTGAACAGTACCCTGAGTGCTCATCCAAACATTTCACAATAAATTCATTGTGTTTAGTGCTTGTTTATTGATTGTGACTGTGAAATAAGCCACCATGTTGCTTCGACTTTAGGCCATGTCAAATTTAGGCCTAGCTCCTGGAACGGATCACGGCCGAGACTCAGGATTCCACTGTAATGACATTTTTTATTCATTCTAGAGTATATGTCATGTTTCTATGTTATTAACCCTTTGACTGTTTCGGCCGTATATGTATATACGTCTTATGAGCCAGTGTTTCGGATGTATATATACTCAATAATTCTAGCGGCATCAAGTCAAGCAGGAGAAATCTGGTGAGAATGGGTCTGTGTGGTCAGTGTGCACTGTATAAAAAAAAATCCTGCAGCACGTGTTGCATAATGAGGAAAAACTCCGACCATGTTTTTGGATTAAAAAGCCGACTTTGAGGCGTATTTTCCTATAGCATTTATTGTTGTATTCTCGCTTTCTTGGTCTCATTTGATAGAATGGTAAACATATTACAGAAATAGAGATGATTTTGATTAGTTTCATGATGAAACAACCTTGAAATTGAGCTCAAAGTAGTGGAAATGTTCGATTTTTATCAATGTTCAAGAGTAAGCAAATCACATATGTCCAATGCACGTCAACTGGGGAGTCTAATATTCTTTCACTAGTGTGCTGATATAATTTATACCATTTTTACAATAATGCAGTAGTCTGCATAACAGTAAATCTTCTATTTTTTGTGTGAATAAAAAATCAAAATAGAAAGCAAGAGTAATATAAGAGGGGCCTAGAGACGTGACTAATGAACAGAGGATATGTTATTTTAGTGCCAAGAATGTCTGGACTGTTTATTCTGGACCCTATTTTGAAATTGGCAACTTTTTTAATTTGCATGAAATTGGCCAAATTGCCAATTTCTGACCACTTTATTGGGTAGTTGAAATTGGTAAATGGGAAATTTCTTGTACTCAGTTGATAGAAAAAATAGATTTTTAAAGAAATAGCTATGAATTTGGTCGGCTGGAACAATGGCATTGGCTGAAAATAGGGCTCAAATTCAGCAAAATCGCCGATGTGTATATATCACCAAGATCACTAACTTCGCAGGAGCGTAATTCCATAAGTTTCCGATCAAATTTTGTACTTTTGGCGTCATTACCAACGGGAAAAGATTTTCTATGATTTCAAAGAAAAAATAAATTTTTTTTTCAAAAAATTTTCCAACACCAGGAGACACTTCAGGATTTGGGGTTGTGACAGTCAAAGAGTTAATATTGTTTATTATGTCATATTAGATGAACTGTGATAGATAAATAAGCTGTAGAGTTGACATTAGTGTCATATTGAAGGACTATCTTGTCCTGCCTCCAAACACACTCCCCTGCTGCTGCCACAATTCCTAACGTACGTAATGACATATTTTATTCATACACCAACCTGAGTCTTCAATAAAGGAAAGTGTGTTGTTATTATTGTTTTATTCTTCATGTCTCATTGTTTTCTGTGTATGTAAATCTATATTTCATGTAAAAAAAATATTTTTTTTTTTGTTAATACCTTTGGTCTGAAACGGATTAATTGGATTTACATTATTTCTTATGGGGAAAATGGTTTTGCAAAATCGTCAATTTCGCTATTAGTCACACACTCTTGAATGAATTAATTACAAAAAAATAGGGTCCAATGTACTGTACCTGCAAGGGAACTACAAAAATACAAAATGTAATACAGCTCTGGGCCCAAAGTGTTGTCATACAACAGCAGAATTATTAACATGTAGATGCTGTATAATATTGTACTATATAATCAGATGAAAGGAGCAAATTTAAAAAAGAAGAAAATCTGTCTCTTCTGTTTTGGGCCACTCTGCCTCGGTGGTAGACAGTTGTTGTGTTAAATAAAAAAATAATCAACACAAATTTTGTTAGGAGGAGGCTGGTAACTTACTGCAGGATGAAAGACGTTTATAGCTTCAACAGCTGCTCGGCCAGTTTGCTTGTATCCAAACACAAGGTCAATCCAGTGGTGTAAGCTCTGTGTGACTATTGGAGATTCTAGAGCTGCACGATGTATTAAAATAAACCTGAAAAATACACAAATCTAATGAGTATAGATTTTGGGCCAAACTAAACCTAACACCATTTCATTATATAATTCATTATGTACCACATCTGCTATTTCCCACTAAGGTAATATGATACAGTGACTCAAAGAAGGAAATGCATTCACCATCACTAGAAGGAAATGCATTCACCATCACTCACTTGCAAGAAGTGCACAAACATCCCAATTTAAATGATCATTTCAGCTGTGCTGTATACAATGCTTCCCACCTCCAGGACTCAAGTGAAGATAATATTAATAATAATAAGTTAACCAACCTACTAGTCATGGTTAATAAGTGCGCCTATGTTTAGGTTGAAGTCTCACCTGCGTGGGTCATCACAGCTCCAAGGAGGTAACTGGACATGGTGTACCCTCTCACCACACTGTCTTACACCCATGTTAAAACCTAAAGGAGAAGTGACCATTGCCCAATAAATTTTGCTCATAACTGCTAAATATACAATATATTTTTTTTGTCGTATTTTCCAGTTAGAACTTGGCAAGTTTTCAGTGTATACAGTACTGTACATACCTTCTGAATTTAAAAAAATCTCTGGAAGAAAGAAAAACTCTGGAATGAGTTCTTTGAAATCTGTTGTGGAGTCAGAGGAAGCTAGTCGCCATGTTGTCTGAATGGCATGAAAAGTACGATCAGGAATGTCAAAGTTACCATCTGAAAAATGCAAACAAATACAGGTACAATATTTGCAATGAATAAAAGTCACAGACATAAAACATAATACTAAATATCAGTTCATAATATCAATCCAAAATTTAATTTAGTCTCTTTAACTGAAATGAATAGCAGACTAGCTGGCCGTGATGATTCTTATTTAATGAGCTTTCTGTATTACATTATTCTCTCCTTGCATGATACTCAGCACAAGAGAATACTTCAGTAGTCTCTCACCCTGGTATCGCAGGAATAGTTGTGTAAATGGAGGCAGTCGAACCAAGAAGTGGAGAACGATACCAGAGTTGCTGTAATGAGAACCATAGTGGTAGGGTCCATCCCCAGCATCTTGACTAATCTGTGAAGTTATCTGCCAATATTGAACCTATTAGTATAGTAATGTAATTTCAATGAAAGGAAAGTTATAAATACAGTATGTTAGAAACTGGTAATTACATAATTGCTAGACCATATAATTAGAGGAGCTCTGTGGTAGGCCTACTGGCCCATGCTAAGCAGGTCCTACTATAATATAAAGGAAAACAAAAATTAACGTAGAGAATCTTTAACACTTACAGAACTGCGAAAAAGATTTCAACACTGAAAAAAAAAAGTTTTATGAGAAGTGAAAAAATCTTGACCTTACTGACTTAACCCTTTCAGGGTCCAAGGCCCAAATCTGGAGTCACGCACCAGTGTCCAAGATATTTCAAAAAAAAAATTTGTTATTTTTTCTTATGAAATCGTAGAGAATCTTTTTGTGAAGGTAATAAAACAAAAAGTACGAAAATTGGTGGAAAATTGACGAAATTATGCTCTCGCGAATTTTGATGTGTCAGCGATATTTACGAATCGGCGATTTTGCCGACTTTGACTCCCATTTTAGGCCAATTACATTATTCCAACCAACCAAATTCTTAGCTATTTCACTAGTATTACTTCTATTCTATCGATTGAGCACAAGAAATCGCCAAGTCAACTGTTTCAACTACAAAATAAAGTGATTGGAAATTGTTAATTTGGCCAATTTAACACAAAGTTCAAAATATTCCAATTTCAAAATAGGGTCCAGAATGAACAATGTAGGCATTCCTGGCACTAAACTAACATTTCCTCTGTTCATTAGTTATGTTTTGAGGCTTTACAAATAAATTCCATTTTGATTTTTTATTCATATAATGAATTTTTATTCACACCAAAAAATAGATTTACTGGTATGCAATACTGTAATAATTGTATAAATATCATCACCATATTTGTGAATGTATATTAGACCCACCAGCTGATGTGTATTAGACGTGTGAGGTTGTTTGTTTACTCTTGAATATCGGCAAAAATTTAACATTTCCGCTACTTTGAGCTCAGTTTCAAGCCATTTCCAATGCTAAAACCAATCAAAATCATCTCTATTTCTGTAATATGTCTTCCATTCTATCAAATGAGACCAAGAAATCGCAAATACAACTATAAAAAACATACGAAAAAACACTGCAAAGTTGCTGTTTTAATCGAAAAATCATGATTTCATTTTTTTTCTCTCATTATGCACAGTGTGCTGCAGGATCTGTTTTATGTGGTGCACACATACCACATAGATGTATTCTCTCATATCTAGGCCCAAATGTACCACTCACAGTTTATCAGAGTGAGCTGAGCTCATGGCGTAGATCTACGGTTTGGACCCTGAACGTAAAGCCGTAGATCTACGGGACGGACCCTGAAAGGGTTAAAAGTTGACTGAGAACTATTTTTTGAAAAAAAAAAAAAAAAAAAAAAAAAAAAAAAAAAAAAAAAAAAAAAAGAAAGACAGTCAAGTGGTGTCAAAATTCATCATCAGTATATGACTTGTACCATATCTCAGAAGATATATTTACCTCATAATTATTAATGTAGTGCTGTTCCTTATGTGGATGCTGCACAGCTATTGGCTTCTTCAAATTCCTGCAACAAATTAAAATGCACAATGTTATGTGTTTCTACTTGATTGTAGGTAAAAAATCTTCATTCTAAGAACATGAATACCTTCACTGCACAAGAAAACAATACATTAATAAGTGTTGCCATACCTCTCTCCTATACAATGTTGAGAAACTGTAATAAATGATTTAGACTATCATGGCTACTTCTTAAAATTTCTGTAACACTGAGCACAGAAAATCACCAATATAGCAGCCTTTTTAAATTGAGGACAAAATCTACTGTTAAACTGCATCTTTAACTCCTTTATTTTCAATGTTTATTACAGTAACTGTAAACTGTGTACACACTACTATATTAGGTGTACAGTAGAATATTTTAATGCATATTTTGCTATTTTTAACATTATTCTGATATAACTGATACTCAGACAATCCCTTATTAGTCTGCTTTATTGAGGGTTTACTGTATTTTATATCACTATAGTAATACAGGGGTTATTCCAAAAACTTTTCTTGCAAAATTGCCATGTATAAATTTGATTGTCAAGTCAAATTTAACAATTTCTTACCTGAAATTAGTTGGATCATTCAGACTGATGATATTTGTCATGTAGTTGGATAATATGAAGGGAAACACAGGATACTGCATTAAGTCATTAAATGAACGTCCTGCCAATTTATTCAGCTGAGTAAGATACTCAAAATTTGTCATCTGTCCTGCAAAAAAAAACAAGACAGAAATTGATTCATACTAATGGAATCTTATGGGACAAATGATGCATGGCAGAAGGTAGTTGTTGGTAATGCACAACTGTCCAGAGAGGTACTAATATCCTGTCATAAGTGTGTGAAATAGGAGCCTATTAAAACATTTTGCATTCTGAAAGGATTTCTGATCTCTCAGTTCTGTATCATGAACATGTGAAATAACAGGTGAATTTCACAAACCTCTACTTCTACTATCCTGTGAGTGTCTTAATACGTTTTTTTTATTCCTGTTATATTTCATTTCTAATTAACCCTTAAATTGTCCAAATGTAGATCTACATTTGTGCGCGTAGCACTCTGACCTTGATTTCCTTCATAAGAAAGCATGTAAAAAAAAACGTAGATCTACGTTCGGAGTGCTACTCAAGTGAACGTAAATCTACGTTTGGACAGTTTAAGGGTTAAAGAAATCTGATTATAGATTGTCAAGGTCAATGATCTACAGAACCATGAATAGGTAATACAAACAGGCCCCACTTAACAGCACTTCACTTTACAGCAGTAGCCTAGAACTTAACTTGTTGTATAAGCAAGGCCCTCCTGTATATAAACTACACATACATTGTTTCTCTGTCTCTATAATAACAATTTTCCTTTTCTCTTTATCTCACACTGTAGCCCTAGTGATTCATGTCTGCAAGAAGCTGAGTGAATAATGAAGCTCAATACCCCCAAATGAGTGCATTAATTACCTTCACGCCATCGTGCTGTAACCTCCGGAAGAGTAGTCTTGCTTAATAAATTTGGCATATCAGACATACTGAGTACTCCAATCACCTGTAATTATATGTAGTCCATCTTAAAAGAGTAAGAAAAAATCAATATCCTAAGAGGCAATCCTAATTTTCATGAAGAGTGAAAGCTAAGCAGTTTATCCAGTAAATAAATTAAGTGTATAATGAAAAAAACATTTAGTAGGTTTACTTTGATCAAATGAGTAAGACATATCACAGTTTATTAATTAAAATAGTAAAAATAAAAAATGCAATCTCCATGGGGAAGTGGAACAGAATTCTTCCTCCGTAAGCCATACGTGTTGTAAGAGGCGACTAAAAATGCTGGGAGCAAGGTGCTAGTAACCCCTTCTCCTGTATATGTTAATAAATTTAAAAAGAAAAACTTTAATTTTTCTTTTAAGGTCACCCTGCCTCAGTGGGATATGGCTGGTTTGTTGAAAAAAAAAATACAATACACTGTATACTGAACAGTATTATTTATTATTACATTCATGGGGAGAACTAAACCCATAAGGGTCATACAGTGAATGGAAGGTATTCAGGCTTGAGGAGTATGTCACTGATGCCAGCTAGGCCAGTATATCCTGTACAAGTACTTGTAGAAATAAAGATTCAAGGAAATGGAGCATTTGTCCATTTCCTTAGATCAAAAGCCCAACACCAACATTAAGAAACGTTCTTTGAGGGGTATACCGAACTGTACACGGCCTCTCCTCATTTAACGACAGAGTTCCATTCCTAAGACCACGTTTGTAAACGAATTCATCGCTAAGTGAGGAGTATACTATAATGGTAGTGGGTTTGTGTCAACCATCTTTGATATTGTTTTAATGTCATCTTTGCACCATTGATAACATTTCTGATATATTTTTAAAAGTTTATACAGTAATATACTATGTATTCTAATAAACAGAATAGGGGACATTAGCTCTAATATACATTATTTAGGTATGCACACTGGTCAGAGAGCCCATCGTAAGTCCGAGTCGTTGGTAAACAAATACGTTGCGAAGTGAGGAGAGGCTATACTGCATACATTATAAAAACATATTTTAGTGAATGTAGAGTGAAACACCTATGAAAATTCTTACCTGATTACGATGCTGTGTATCAATAAAAGCTACCAAGACCGTGTGGCCTGTTGTGAGAAAAAGTTCTAGAGCACAGTCCTGGAGTTGGTATCTTCGAATGTGTATCTCTCGGACATTATCCAGAGGCCAGGTCACGGATACTAACTCACTGCTGCTGCCGCTCTGTGAAGGATGGAACATATTGAATTAAAATTCCCAAACAAAAAAAATATTTAGAATAAAGACTGAATGTATTAAAGAGGCTTTATGAGGACATTATAAAGCTCACACAATTAAAGAAATATCAAGAGATACAAATCTTCCATTGTACACTGAATCTACAAATGAAAAAAAAAAAATGAGACATCCAATAGGATTATGACTTACAATGAGCACATCTATCATAAAGCCAACAAATAGGCTGTAACAATGATAAAGACTCTTCAGCCATATGAGTTAAGAGAAAACAAGTGACAAATGATGAAAGATATAACTGAGCAACTAAACAACAATTGGGGGAGAGAAAGAAATGATTGTAAATAAATATATATTAAAAAATAAAAGCTGATACTCTTGATATGAACCACTATGTGTGTTCTCTACTCATGGTATTCTTGAGAAAGTGATGCTTGCACTTCTGAAATAATTTAACGGCTCAACTTGCTGCATTTATGTGATAGGGACTTTCAGAGTAAAACTGAAGTTTGGAGAGTTTAAACTAACAGAAGGAAATGAGGATAGATGGATACAAAAGTGTCCCTAGGATGGGGATAAGGTAAGAGTACTGAATGATGAGAACACTTTGGAAAAAGTGCAGTGGGACAGATGAAATTAAAACAAATATCGAATAAACTGAATCTGAGAACCTTTCAAGGTAGGCTAGATATGTTACCATGCATAGGTGGAGATTGTTATCAAATTGATGGGATAGTCATGCATAAGAATGATGCTGTTGCAACTAGTTATGGTGAACATACGCTTTTAAAATACAGCAAGTACAATAATGGAAAATCTTAATGAGAAATTTTTATGATAATCAATTTTTATGTGATGCAAGGAATACAAAAATTATACTATGACAGGATTACCTGGTTCATGTCAATGGTAACTTGCTCTCCAACAAAATACATAGCGGTTCGGCTATTAGTATTTCGCCGCGCTGTACCATGCCAGGAGGACACAACTGATGCACTGCTCATGTGGACGATGCGTTCACTGACATTAAGCCTCTCTATCATCACAGCCATGCAGACTCTGTCTCAGAACCTTCGAGAACTGACTCCAGGGGAGATGGCTGGTTTTCTATATCTGTATAAAAAAAATATATATATAACAGTGGACCCCCGCTTAACGATCACCTCCTAATGTGACAATTATGTAAGTGTATTTATATAAGTGCGTTTATAATGTGTATGTTTGGGGTCTGAAATGGACTAATCTACTTCACATATTCCTTATGGGAACAAATTCGGTCAGTACTGGCACCTGAACATACTTCTGGAATGAAAAAATATCGTTAATCGGGGGTCCACTGTATACATATATATATATATATATATATATAATATATATTTTTAATTATAGGTACAGGTCCGCCATCACAAATCCGGCAATCAGTTATTCGGTACTAATTTTGGCTAGCATAATTTCAAATTTCCAGGGTCGCCACACCAACCTGCTGGTACTGTTTGGTGACGCTACTTGCTGCGTAAGTCATTCCAATTTCTTTTTCTCCATTTATTGTTTTAACCTGCTTACTTATAGCCCTAGCCATGGTTCCAATGAATAAAATAAATGCTTCTCATTATGTAAAGCACCTACACAGTATATTATCCATTAAAGATAAGGTGGCTTTGAAGCCACTGTTGGTTGCCATGAGCTCTGTCTCACGAAGCAGGAGAATATGCTTTATTACGCTAATATCAACAGTACAGCTTATTTGCCTATCACAATTGATCTAATATGACATAAGAAACAATATAAATAACATAAAACATGTTAAATACTCCAGAATAAATAATATTTGCCATAACATTGAGTGGTTCGACAGAGGTATGAAAAGGATATGGTATACAAATACCATTCTCCTATCCCTGTCTTGGTGGCTTATATTAGAGAGAACGGAGTGTAGCACAGGGCTAACTGTGAAATACACTCGTACTGCACCATAAACCTGAAACAAAAGTTATTTTCTCTATATTGATTATCACACAAAGCAGCATATGTGTAGAGAACCTAGGATAACCCAAAAATAGTCAAAGTGACTTATTTTTAGTACCTGACTTGGGTTAGCCATATATGATTTTTGGTAAATATTCGATTCCCAGCCAGGGTAGAAACATTAGGCATGTTTCTTTAAACCTGTTGTCTATGTTTACCCATCAGTAAATGGGTACCTGGATGTTAGCTGACTAGTGAGGGTGTTATCCTGGGACACTGACCTAATTTTCTTGAAATACTCAGCATAACAAGCGGCTTTCTATATAGTAGTATGTCACTGATGTCAGCTAGGCCTGTATACCTTGTACATGTACATGTAGTAAATAAAGATATTATTATTATTATTATTTTTTTTTTTTTTTTTTTTTTTCAACAAGTCGGCCGTCTCCCACCGAGGCAGGGTGACCCAAAAAAGAAAGAAAATCCCCAAAAAGAAAATACTTTCATCATCATTCAACACTTTCACCACACTCACACATTATCACTGTTTTTGCAGAGGTGCTCAGAATACAACAGTCTAGAAGCATACACATATAAAGATACACAACATATCCCTATTATTATTATTATTATTATTATTATATTATTTTCTCAGTTGTTTGTTAGGTTATCTTATTCAAACTTGGGCAATGTATGATGGAAAGATACTTCTTCACGTACACCAAAAATGAAAGAAATCAGACCATAATCTCTATGAAAAGAGGCAAATGTAGTCCCTGTTCACAAAAAGAAGAGCAGAGCAGAAATCAGCAACTACAGACCAGTGTCAATCCTGTCAATCACTGGTAAGATCCTTGAGACAATAATCTCAAGACAAATGACAGAGTTTTTTGACTACCACTCACTACTTTGTGATCGTCAATATGGCTTCAGGAAAGGTTACTCTGCTGCTGATCTGTTGTTAAACTCTCCACTAAGTGGCACCAGTCACTGATGAATCCAAAGTCAGCTGTGTGGTAGCACTGGACATTGCTGGCGCTTTTGACCGGGTGTGGCACCAGGGGCCTCTTAGCAAAACTTCAAGCACTGGGAATGCAGGCTCTATGCTATGTCTCCTCAGTGATTACCTTCATGGTAGATCTCTAAGTGTAGTTCTCAATGGAACGGAATCAGCAAGACATCAATTGGGGCAAGTGTTCCACAAGGAAGCGTGCTGGGTCCATTGTTATGGAATGTCTACTTCAACGACCTTCTTCATCTCATCCCAGAATCACATGCATATGCAGACGACTGTACACTGACATTCACTTATCCAAGAGAAGAAATGCCAGCTGCTCTAAGCTACATCAATCACCAGCTGAGAGCTATATCAGCTTGGGGAAATAGATGGCAAGTAACATTTGCACCTGAGAAAATGCAAATGATGATCGTCTCTAGGCACCATGATGGTAATGCTGGTGCAGTAGTAAGGATGAATGGGAGGGTGTTGGCACCTGGAGAAGAAGTTGATATCCTTGGGGTGAAATTTGACTCCAAACTAACCATGAAGAACCATGTTGTAAATCTTGCAAACAAGGCAGCCAGGAAGCTTACAGCACTTCGCCGTATCTCGCATCTGCTTGACAGTAGGGGTTGCAAGATCCTGTACGAGGCACAAGTACGCTCACACCTTGAGTATGCTCCACTTTCTTGGTTTGCCTGCCCCCCCTCTCATCTACCACTGCTTGACAGAGTAGAGAACAGAGCAAGACGTCTCATCTCTCGCCTGGACCCATCCTGGATAGATCTGTCATTTCAGCAGAGCCTTCACACAGGAGGGACGTGGGTGGCCTTACTGTTATGTACAAGGCCAATATTGTCAAAATACCACACTTGGATCCACTTCGAGGACAGCGTGAAAACAAGCTTTTATGCCACAAGACGGGCAGAAAGTAGCAACTTCACTCTGGCTGTACCCTTCTCCAGAACATCACTCCATCTGAGATCATACATACCCAGGATGACTCGAATATGGAACACATTCGTACAGCATAATGATGTCAACGAGATAAAGTCAGTTGATCAAATGAAAATGCTGGCCCACGATGGCTCCAACTTCATCCTGTTCCCTACTTGTATGTCTCATAAACAATAAAATGCTTTCAAATGAGTGATGTAGATAACAGCTCTTAGCTTGCCAATAAGTTAGGAATCCTTAACCTGTAAATAGCTTGTCAATAAAGCTAGGGATCCTTAACCTTGTCAAACCCCCCCCCCCCTTTGAAAAAAAAAAAAAAAAAAAAAAAGGGGTTTCACTTCTCAGCCATTAGCACCCGGGCCTTAGGGGTATATTTTTGTAGGGTTGTTTGGGTTTTTTTTCCCCATTTGATAAATGAAAGAAAATATTACAGAAATAGATATATTTTGTTTTTGCTTTCAGATAAAAAGTATTAAAATTGCCCCTCACAAAAGGCAGAAATGTTCTATTTTTTTGGGCAAAGCTAAAGAGAAAAAGAATGACGTCACGCCCAAATTTTCCCCTGTCCCCCTCCCATCAAAATTCCCAGTAGGGATCAAGAATGGCTTGACATTATTTATACAATCATTATTTTTAAGGCAGAAAGGTTGCAAAACCCGTAAATCTTCTATTTTTTTTGTGAAAAAAAATTTCCCCAAATGGTAAGCAAGGGGTAAAAAAGGGGGGCCCCATGTAGCCATGATTTAATAAACAGAGAAAAGGGTTTTTTTAAGTGCCAAAATGTCTGCATTGTTTATTCTAGCCCCTATTTTAAAATTTGGGAAACTGTTAAATTTTTTTGAAACCCGGCCCAAATTGGGCCAAATTATCTGACCACTTTTTGGGTAGTTTGAAATAAGTGAATGGGGGGTTTTTCTTGAAATTTTTTGACGGGACAGAATAAAAGTTTTTTCAGGAAATATACAATATTTTACATAGTTTTAATCATACATACAGTTTTTGTTTTAAGAGAACCGGGAAAACCCAGAAAAGTCATGATTTTTTTCCCGGTCCCCTGTTGGGGCTTGCCATATATGATTTTTTGGTAAATTTTTTTTTTTCTCGGTTGTTTTTTTGGGCTATCTCATTGAAACTTGGGCAATTTTGATGGAAAAAATCCCTTTTTAAACTTTAAACACAAAAAAAAAAAAGGATAAATAAAAAAAAGGGTTCACTTCCGGGCTTTATTAAGTGTTTTTCCAAACCCAAACCCATTTCTGAAATTTCCGGGGGGGCCCAAATCCCATTTTAACCCGACACACTCCCGGTCCCAAGGATGCGGGTTTTGTGATGGGGGAAACCGGGTGTGGGTTTTGGTAGACGAAACCCCCAGGGGGGGTTTACAAAACCTTTTCTGCCAAGTGAGTGAAAAAACGAAAGCCTTTTAAATGTTTTAACTTGTTGGTGGGTGGGTTGGGTGCCCCATTTTTGTCTCATAAACGAAAGGGTTTTTCGGGTTTAGTCTTGTACTTTTCTTACATTTTGGGCCACACTACACTTTCATTTTACAACCTATATATACACCCCCAAAGGGTTATTTTTTCTTTTTTCTTACTATTTTCTTTTTTCTTTTTTTATTTCCCTTCCCTTTCCAGGGGGAAAAGGGGAAAACGGGAAATTTTTCCCCTCCTTTAAGCTATGCGTTTTTTTTAAGGGGGCGACAAAAATGCCCGGGAGAAAGGGGGGCTAGAAAACCCCTTCTCCGGTATAAATTACAAATTTAAAAAGAGAAACTTTAAATTTTTTTTTTTTTGGTCCCCCTGCCTGGTAGGATACGGCCGGTTTGTTGAAAAAAAAGGAAAAAATAATTTTTTTTTAATACCACGGGTTCCCTCCCCCCAAAGGGTGGGGGGGGTGCCCTGACAAAAAAACACTTTCACCAAAAATTCACGCTTTTTTTTTTTCTTACCAGAGGTGGATAGGGACATTTAAAAAGGACTCTCCAAAAAAAAAATTTTTCCCCAAACCCTTCCTTTAGGTGCAGGACGTTTTTTTCCATTTCCGGGACTAAAAGCCCGGGTTTACCCATTTTCCCCTGAATCCCTTCAAAAAAACCGTTCCCCCTGCCCCACACTCTAACACCCTCATTGGGTTCCCA